GCTCTCCCCCCCCCCCCCCCCCCAAAACGCATCACCTATGCTTAGTACATAATATTCACTAAAGAGAAGGAGGAGATCATGGTGGCAGGGCCATGGAACGAATAATATTGGATATGCATGGTTACTCATGGTCTTCTATTGAAAAGAAATGTTCTTCAGGAAGCATCTGAACAGGGTCCAAAAAGTCATTGTAATCTAGTTAGCTACATACCTTTATAGGAGAACATTTATTCAGTACTGTAATTTTTTACTGTGTTCAGAAATATAAGTGATAGCATTTTAAATGCAACAGGTCAGCATCCCCTGATGCTTAACAAACTGAACAAAACAGGAGTACCATCAAGTACTTTCTTCAGAAGAAGGGGCAAGAATCCCTTAATGTTTCATTTTTTATGCAAATTCATCTCCATTCTGAGCTTTCACTTCTACCTATTTTATGTCAAGTTATATCTAACTTAAATTTCTGGTCCCCCAGTCTCAGTGATGTTAGTCAAATGCTAACCAATAATAGGAATTAAGGTCAGACTTTTCAAAAATGTCTGGGAAGTTTTGGGTGCCATTGGAGGGACCTGGTTTTCTGGAGGCATTTTTGCTGATTGAATGCTCATTTCTTTGTTTGTTTAGCTGCCTCTATTGTTATGTAAGATTTGTAGGCAAGTGAGGAAATGAGCCTTCACCTTAGACCTGAAATGACAATGTTTTACTTAATACCTTGATTCTTGAAGGATTGCAGAAAGTGCAGAACTGTATAAATGCAAAACTCTACTGATCGGCATACTGGTATTCAGATCTGCACGTTTAAGCACCCAAGGGTAGGGAACATGCACTACCTCTTATTTTCCCTTGCATGGATGTGTTATGATGGTCTTCGAGGAAAATGTCAAATGAGCATTCTGCACATGAACCTTAAAACTGGACTGCTTTTTTTTTCTCCCCCTCAGGCCATATGGAGTCCATGCCCAATGTGCATTGTTGGCTCTTAGTCACTGAGACACCCTAGCCTTGTTTCTATTGACTGACGATGTCCCACCCACCACGGAACTGTGTTGGGACCGCAGACTGCTTGTACAGGTATGGTAGATCTCGTGGTCATTTTTTGGTACAATATTGCAGTTTTTTGAAGTTTTTTTTTTGCTTTTTTTAAAGACCCTGTGGGGTATAAATCATAAAAACAAAATGAAAAAAAAACTTTAGAAAACTGTAAAAGGGGAGGAGAGGAACTTAATTCACTTCTCCAGCCTGGCTCTGGTCTCTACCGCGGTTCTGTGGTGTGTGTGACGTCACAGCCAGAAAGCATGCTAGAGTGTTTCACTAACTGGAAGCTGACAGTTTGCAGTGGGCTCAGACTTCGCAGGCCCTGGAGGTAAAAAGGAGGAGGTAAGCTTCAACTTTATATATGGTCCATTTATGTAGTTATTTGGTGCATTCACTGATGTAATTCTAAAGCAGTTAGAGGTTTTTTTTCCCCTTTTTATTCATTTGCAGGTTACTTTTGAAAGATTCCACTTTTTTTCTCTGAAGTGCCAAATACAGCCTCAGACCTTAAAAAAGTATATATATACATGTTGCATACATTAGGGGAAATCCTGGACTCATATTCGCTTTCATCAGGCACAAGTTTTCAGCCAGTAAATGAACTACTTGTATGTGTAAAGTGCAGTTTTTTGAGCCCTGTTAACTGTAGGTGGATGGCAAGTCATTCTAACAAAAGAAATAAAAAAGATTGGCATGATAGTAAAAGGATGCCATTTTACTGACATTGTTGTCCCATCTTTTGCTTCACACAAATTGCCGTGAAATGTTAATGCTGCTCTGCAGTTTTCTTATATTGGTCTACACAGACAGTTTGCAGCTTTATTGGTTTCAGAATGTCCACTTAATCTCCTAAGTATGACAGGCTTTTAGGAGCATCAGCACTCATGACATTAAAACCAATATGCTTTTCCAGACAACATCGCTTACCTTTTTTCAATAAAAATAGAATTCTATTTTGTTTTTGACAGATGAATGATGGACCACTATGTAAGTGTAGTGCAAAAGCCCGACGAACAGGAATAAGACACGGCATTTATCCTGGTGAAGAGGTAACTGTTTTAATATTGCATTTAGAAATACCAGATTGCTACAGGAGGCAGGTACCTGTTTTGTGCTGACTTCAATTGGTGGAAATTATTGTTTCAGAATAAACCACAGAGCAATATGAAATCAGATTTCTTATTGGTTGCATAGTTTTATATACCAGATGTGCTGCCTCTGAAAACTCCTTTTAAAAAACTGGGGAAGGTATTTGCTGACCTTGTACAGTCTTCAGTTCTCAAAGGGTCTATATTAATAGAAGAAAAAACGATTACAGAGCCACTGGCACTAACTTTCTTCATAATTGCACATCTTGACACTCGCTGCTTGGGTTCAGCATGGCAGCTGTCACCGGAAACTACTAGATGACATTTTTTGTTAATTTTGTGACAAGAAAAATGTACAGAGATGTACCTCAAAATGTTAATTATCATATGCATAGGACAACTCCTGCTAAAATAAATTATTCTTTTCAACTGCAGAGGTAATAATTTTTATTTAACTTCTATATTCTCTTCCATATCTTCATTTTTAGATTAGATTTAGATTCCATCGGACTTTTAAAGGAAATGCCTTGTGTTTATAAAGCAATCAGGGCTCATGGTAGAGGTGATATCTTTTATTGGACCAACTAGATTTTTGCGGGAAAAAAAATCTTTAATTGCAAGCTTTTGAGCACAAACACTCTTCTTCAGGCATTGGAGAAAAGATTGTAAAAGGTCTCCTGGGTAGAAATGAAAGTTTTTCTCCAATCTTTTCTCTGATGCCTGAAGAAGGGTGTTCGTGCCCACAAGCTTGCAATTAAAGAATGTTTTTTGCAAAAATCTAGTTCTAATAAAAGATATCACCTCTACCATGGGTCCTGATTGCTTTTTGCTCTAGACTAATATGGCTACAACCTGCATACCTGATGCATGGAAAATATTGAATTTTAGCCTTGTGTTCATAAAAGTATTCAAGAGTGTGTGTGCTGTTTTAAAAATCCTAGACTTTAAAATCTCAGTGTACTGCACTTACACACATACGTACATAATTCAATCAGTGGCATAACACAATGCCACTTCCAGTTTGTTGCCTGTTGCTTCCTTATAACTGATACTGATTATCTGCATATTAGGCAAGTACATAAACTACTTAGCTGCATAGCAGTTTTTATTCTAGGTCTCTGCTTTGTAGCTTTAATTTTATTCTGGCTAATGCATAAATATGTTATTGGGGAAGCAGCTGTCCAAGAACTGCTTCTAGTAATCTTAAAAATGAGAGGGCACTAGTCATTTTCAGGAATATCATCTCTCCCCATTTTTCAGGCTTCTAACAGCAGCCTCCTATTTCAAAGCTAGCTCAGGTGAGCCAGTATTATACCTCAATCAGTGCACATGTAGTATTATAATCTACAACTCTGGGCATTTATGAAGCCCCACAATGCTATGCTTCAGGGAGAGACACCCCCTCACAGTGAATCCAATATATTTCAAATTGTCTCCTAGCAAAAATATTTATTTCAATTAAATTCGCTGAGAGGACAGTGAAGAGGCATTGGTACAGCTAGAACAAGTTTTATTATACATAAAGTTGTTCTGGACTAAAACTTATATGATTAATAAACCCCTCAGAGAATTCTCCTTGATTCTTAATTTCAGGAAAGTAGAGGAAGCAATTTCAATACCAAAAAAAGTAGAGAATTCTTAAACAAATCTTTCCAAAATTATTTTATGTATAGAGGAAATGTAAGTAGAGATACAGTGCTCTCTGTTAAATGCAACTCTAGTTTCACTGATTCTATAAATTGTTCATAGGCCTCTCCAAGTTTAGACCTAGTCATTCACATTTATTTAATTGGAAGCCATTATGGTCTGGTAATTGTCTCAGACGGCAGGGGCCGACTTGAGGTGATTTAGAAATTACTCGGTCGTTGGGCGGGGTGGTGAATGGAGAGGCAGACAAAGCGTATTGGTTGCAAAAAACTTTACTTACGCTGCTAGTAGCCGCGATGCAGGTGGTCCGGTCGCTTAAACAACTACACGAGTTGCTCCAGTTGGCAAGGCTCAGGGCAGCGAATCCGTACACGAGTCACGCTGGCAGGGAAAGGGTACGTCGAAGGATGGCGCTCGGCGACGGGGAGAAGGATCGATAGGTGATCAGGCTATCGACCAGCTCAGCCACAAGTCAAGAATCTTCAAAGGCACTCTGCAGCGTGCTCAAAGTTCTCCGACTTGGGCGGAAGTCGCACAATATTTTATACGGCTAGCAAGCCAATCGCTAGCTGCCACGTAGGAATAATTTAGAATCGGCCAATGATAGAACACAAATTTGCATGCGAATGGCGGAAACTCTCTTGCACCGGAGTTTTCTATTGCAGCAGAAAACTTTTGCTGTGCACAGAGACTCTCATGTGGCGGGGAAAATCCATCATGCCGAGGCACTAAAATCATTGGGTTGTGACAGTAATTAGAGCAGGACACTGGAACTGGGATGGGTATTCTGTTTTTATCAGTGATTTTGGGCTTGTCACTTTAATTTCTGAAAACCTTAAGTTTTTTCTTTCTGTTAAGTGATGATCTTTTTAAAATCTTTTTAATGTGCACTGAAATACTTTAATGAAAGCTAAGTGTAATATATCTATCTATCTATATTGATATAGATATAGATATAATACTACACTTAGCTTTCATATATATAGATATAGATATATCTAGATAGACAGATAGATAGATAGATATAGATATATCTCTTAAAAGTATACATAACTTTTTTGTCAGAATTACGAAAAAGGAACACATTCAAAAGAAAACCATCCTGATGCTTAAACATGTGAATTCTGTGTGCAGGAAAAGTGTAAAGTGATATAAAGAATATATAAATTGTAGTTACCCAGTTCAGAGAATTGAACTAGACATTTTAGATGCTTATAAAAGTTCAGTAAAAAATGTGTCCTGGTACCCCAGTCCCCCAAAGTATAATTATAGTTCCCTGATTTGTTTTTTCTTGTAAATATTTCACGGATATTAGAAATGTTTTATTTGTTCTTTTTTATCTAAAGTATCTTTGACTTTCCCTATAATTCTATTAATTTCTTTTCTATAAGCCTATTAAACCATGTCGCCCTATGACCAACAATGCTGGAAGACTGTATCACTACCGCATTACTGTGTCACCACCCACAAATTTCTTAGTAAGTACTTTGTGAAGAATTCCAGCCATGAGTTTTTGTTTTTAAGGTGAGGTTTATAACACTGCTGCTAATTTTATCTTATGTATTTTTTTAGACTGATCGACCAACTGTTATAGAATATGATGACCATGAATATATTTTTGAAGGATTTTCTATGTTTGCACATGCCCCACTAACAAATGTAAGTACACTCATTCTTTTATGCATAGTGGTTGTCTAGAAAACAGGCTATTTCTGTCCTTTCAATAACACTTCTATAAATCACTGGTGCACATGCTTTGAGAAGCTTCCTGTCATTTTCAGTGTAGCAGTGGAGGGTGACATTCGTGCTAATGAGTCTCAGGTTTTGTCCTGACTAATTGGTGTAAGAATTCCTTTCATGATGTGAGTGAAGCTTTAATAGGCAACAGAATAACATTTTTACATGCGTCAAGGTTTGGAAGTGAAATAAACCATGCTATAACTCATTAAAACTGTTAATTGGCTTTAAATTGGATGTTTTTTTTTAGGTTGAGGAAGTTCTTAGGAAAGGAAAACCAATATTTTGAAAAATGAAAATGAGAACGAATTAGTGCAGTATTAGTATTACTAGTACCTTTTTTAAAAATAAAAAAGACATGCTGACCCTAGGAGGATGATTTAAGAAATTCTCCAAGTTTTAAATGCCAATTTGTTTGTCCATTAAATTATTAATAAAATTATATATAGTTTTTTGCTTTAAGTATTTAGATTCCATTGATTTGCAGCCTTGGTTTAGAATCCTGTTTCAAAAATGGGTGTCCTGGTACCACATTATCCTTTTGTTTCTCAAAATCAAAGCACTTAACCTCATCTGAATGAAAGCCCCTGCATGTTTATAAAGAACTGCATGTTTACAAACCTAAGTTCAAAAGATACTTACAACTTATGCTGTAGTTTCAGATAACATGTACTGCAGGGATGGTCAAAATATAGCCTGCAGGCTGGATCTAGCCTGCTAAGGGAGTCTTTCCGGTCCCTGAAAGGGAGTACATGTGGTACAAGCAGCTAATCCCACTGCACCTCTGTGCACAGCAGGGCAGGGGCAATGCAGCGGCGAGCCTCAGCTTCCACTCGGCCCCTGCAGCGGCAGCTCATTCTGCTTGGTTGTCACTGCTGTCACCACTGAACCCAGTCCTGTTGCCCAGGCACTGGCCCATCTGCCCTGCACCCACTGTGAGGGGTGCCAGACAGGGTTGGTGAGCAAAGTCTCCATGGAGTCTGCCCCGGGAACCCTGTGGACAGGGTGTACTTGGGCGGGCAGATAGGATGGGGCTGCAGGTGAGTGGGGAGCGGCATCCGATCGTAGGATGAGCAGACAGGGGCAAGATCATGGGGTGGTGACAGTGCGGGGTCTGGGGCAGAGCCATGATCCGCTCCCTGTGCATCCCTCCCTGTGGAACTGGCACCTATCACAGGGATGTTCAGGGAGCAGATCGCAGCTCTGCCCTGGGCCCCATCCTTGTGCAGTCAATGCCCCGCCATCTCAGCCCTACCCACCCACCTGCTAATGGCTCCATCTTATCCTACTGACTAAGTGTGCCCTGCCTGTGGGTTCTTGTCCAGTGTCTATGCAGACCTCTCCAGCCTGCTCTGTTCAGTTCCCCCAGCAGCAGATGCAGGGCAGATGGGCCTGGGGCCAAATAGTATCGATTGCCTCCCTTCTTCCCTCCCCCTGGCCTATAATAGCTCACCAAAACTGCTTAAGTGGTCCTCCAGTGCAAATAATTGCCCATTCCTAATTTACCTTTTCTATAACTGCATGGATTGGAAGCTCTGATTATTATATCTGAAAGAAGCTACAAAGAAAATATTTGTTGACTTTCTTTTGATTTGCTTGCTTAGTTCATTAGATAGCACTTTTTGAGCGGTGGGTTTCACTGCTTCCTGTTAATACTTGCTCAGTTCTCCTTTGTTTCTCTTTCCCATTTTGCTGTGCAAAGCATTTTCAGAAAGTCCAAAAACATTATAAAAACATAGCTGCTGTCATGGAAATTAAGGCATGATAAAAGTAGTTTGGGCTTATCATTATGAAGGGTAAAGGAGATTGTTCATTTGTTTTTTTTTCCTGAATGACAAAATTTCAGGTTTTCTCCCATTATAATTTGAATTTGTATGGAATTATTTTAAAAAAATAAAAATAAATTGCTTACATTCCCTAACCTTTGCTTTTCTGGTCCTCTAAGTATTTATAGGCAGCCATACAAAGAGGACTGGGCGCACAGCCATTTGGTTTGAATAGAGCAGAGACACTTTGACAGATAATATAACTAAGGATCAAAGAGCCACCTTACTTTTAGAATTTGGTCTATTCTAATGGAGGTATAACTCAGAATTGTGGGAAATGGCAAATAAAATTCTCACTGTCTTATACTGCAGAGTTTGTGGTTTGGGAATAAAACTATTGGAACCAAATTAGCAGTTCTCCTATCAGTTTTTGTAAACTATGTGAAAATCATAAGCAGCATGTGATGATTCTGATAAAATTACTTCTCTTTTATTTAAGACATACAGCCATTAAGTAATGCCATATAGTTTTTGGGTTTTTTTGACTCTGGTCCCAACTGCTCCCAGAGATGCAGGGCCTTCACAAGGAGAATTTGTATGCTCGTTGTGAAGCTTTTGACATCAAGCATGTGGGAATTGCCATTTCAGAGGCATTTCAGGACATGCTTGATAAAAGGCAGATGGCTAAGTATAGCTTCCACATGGTGCTCTGCAAGAACGGAGATAACATAACAAAATCTTTTAATGACACAAATTTGCATAGCTTGGGGAGATTTTACCCACAATCTGCAGCTCTTTATCAGAGATGTTTATTAGCTGAGCTGGTCAAAAATTAGGTAAAATGATTTGTCAAATCATATGTTACCTAAGTAATCTGTCATTTGTGTAATAGTATCCACCCAGTTTTAATAGTTTTATTCTTTGAATGTTACTCAGCTAGAAGTACTGTTCCACTTTTAAGTGCATCTATCCAGGAAGAACTTGTTTATGGATATTTTGGAAGTTGCTCACCTTTTTCAAGTACTACTTTTCTGTTTTCTCTATTTTGCCCAGAATACAAAGGGCACAGGTCCTAGTTATTAAGCAGCTGATTCAGAATTACTTGACTTATTAATGTTTAGACCTCTGTTAAAAAATAATGAGGTGCTCACTGTTTTTAAGGCTTTTTTTTCAATATTCCTTCTCTCCAAAAATTATCACATAGCACAACTTAGCACGTACCTTTTTAATAAACAAAACATGCTGGTTAAACTCTAGTATCCCCCCCAAAATAGGATTGGTTATTTTCTTAGTTTTAAATCAATCATCCTCATTTAGTTCTTGTTTTTTTCTGAGCTTTGTTTTAAAAGAGCAAAGAGTAGATTGGTCAAATCGCTAAAATAGTGGCATCTGGAACTCTACTAGAAATTACTACACATGGCAGAAATCATGCATGGATTAATATTAGTAGGTCTTGTATGGTTACTTATGAAAGCATAAGCCCTTGAGGGCTACAGAGGGAGGTGTAGGAAGGCAGGTTTTTATGCCTAAATTGAGCTTATTAAATTCAGTGCAGGTCTGTAAAGGTGTAGGCTTCCAACCTGTGTGCATCTCCCTTCCAATCTGCATGAATCTCATTGCTGGATTGAGTTGCTTAATTGCTTTTGTTCATGAACTGATTGTCTGAAATAGCTGTTCCTAACCTAGGAACAGCCGGGGTTAAATAACTCCCAGAAGAGTCTCTTCTGGAAGAGCAAATGTCTGTATATATTATGTCTTCTCTTAGAAGACAACATTGTCATCCATCATTCTCCCTCCACACCAGGAAGACAGTGTGTCACTTGCTAGACTCTGCTGCTCCAGCAGGAAGCAGAACATGCCCTGCTTCACAGTCCCCACGGTGTGCTTCATGGAAACACAGGCTGACAGTAGGCAGTTTGGGTCAGGTAATCAGGGCTGCTACCATCTGTCACCAAGCAGACTAAGGAAGCCTGTGGAGCATGCTGAGATGTGTATGCCATTACTACCCCCCTTCCCCCGGGTCGGCTTCAGTGTCAGCACTGCAAGCTGTCAGCTCTTCATGGTCTTAGCATTCATATGTCTGTACATATGGTTCTTGTTAAGTTTCTCTACCAGGAGAACAAACCTGGGAGATTATTTAAATGTGTGGACTCAACAGTTGGAACATTTTGTTGTCTAAATAATTCTTAGCTTGTTCACACACAGCAGTTAGAACATAACAGCTTTTGAAACATTCCCCTTTGGAAAGGACTCCAAACATATGTGTATCTACACCCTTACTCAGACTGGTGGTCTAGAAACCCCTAGGAAGCACAAGATCACAATTCTTTCCCAACCTGTACCCTATTTTGTACTGTATATGAATGCAGTTTGTTTGGTACAAAATTGATTACTGAGAGGTTATATTTTTATTTTTAAAATAGGAAAATAAAACTAGGTGGCATTTTGAAAGTAGTATTTCTACACAAAATATATATAAAAGTCCTTTATTCTGAAGACGACTATAACTGATGCACAGAAATTAGAGAGAGAAAGATTTTTCAGTGTTTGTTTTTGCATTTAGCAGCATCTTCCTCAGCTTTGTGGGTGTTCAGTTCCATTTCATTTTTTATGGGCCAATATACAACATTTTCTCATGTCTGCTGTGTGACCCTACTATATACTTTACCTTGGTCCCTCAAGAAAATATGCTTTCCAGTAACAGCAGCAGCAGAATGGAAACTGAAAAAGCAGCAAGGTGGAGAGGCACTAGAGTGGTTTCGCCTAAGCAGTTTTGAAATTGGTTTTGAGCGTGTCCCCTATTCTTGCTGCAAATTCCATGGTAGTAATAGATTATACATGCACAAGCACATATGGGCGCACACATGTATAAATTTGTTATGTATATTACATAAATATACATAATCAATTGCATTATTGTATATTTTATATATCATTATTGATATTATGCATTATTGCATAATATGATAATGATAATAATTTATGAAAGCAACAGCAGAATTTTTAGAGAAAGCCCCTAACATTTTCACAGAGAATCAAAAATGAACAAATTCTGTGCATGAGAGGGTGTGTTCTATCAGAAATTTGAATATTTTGCCATCAGATAATTTGTTTAAAAATTAATATAATAGTTCTTTTTAAAAATAACTTGAGCGAACAGTCTCAGCAGATATGGTAAAAAATAGTTTAACTATTTTGGACCTATACAGTGCCCTTTTAAAGTATTTTTTGGATATAATGTATGTAAACCTATAAATCTGTACTTCAAGCCCTTACATCTTGCTTCCATTACATAAAGGTAGGTTAGGACAGTATGGCTAATAGAATGGTAAAAACACTTGACCTCTAGGTCACTGGATCAGTATGGCATGCTTTATTATCAACAGTAAATTCACATACAAACATTACATTTTCAAAGCAAGAGAAGATAGATCAAATGTTTTATTGAGCTGTGCTTCCTCTAAACAAAATATCATCTCCAGGAGATGGCGATATTTAACCATCTCTTGTAATCCTTCTCGTCACTCCTGTTATTAAGACAGGTGAAGTCTTGGTAGTCATTTTTTCTCTTTCTCTTTTAGGCTTGCTTACTTGCTTGTTTTTGTGCATTTGCTTCCTTCCTCACACTCTCTCTCACTTCTTTGTATGAGCTCAGTGGGGCAACAGTTTTAGTAAATGCCCTTTTCATCAGGTGGAAATACTAGGGGTACTGAACTGTTTAAATGAAGAAATCGGTGCTGTATGTCTCTTCAAACTGAATGTCTGGTCCATTTTCCTTCCAGATTCCTCTATGTAAAGTAATCAGATTTAACATTGACTATACAATTCATTTCATTGAAGAGATGATGCCTGAGGTAAGAAGAATAATTAGTCAAAAAATCAGGTTGGGTTGAATTATTGATATATGATAAAGGATTAAATCTAGTCTTGTGTGTTATATCAGAGGCAGACTAAATTCTGACTTTCTGGCTTGATGAAAAATTACATATATGTTTATAAAAGTCTAAGTATCTATCTGAAACACCATACATTAAGAAGAATATAAAAACTATATAGCCTTCTACAAATGTACTTCAGGCAACATGCCTCAGCTCATTTTATATCCCTATTTTATCCCTATTTTACAGATGAGGAAACTGAAGTACAGAGGGGTTGGTGATGTGCAAATTGCACCATTAAGTCTAGAAGCTGATTTTGAAATCCTAGAATAAGGCTATCTCTTATTATACCATTTTTACTCAAATATAAGATCAGGTTTTCCCCCACCCCCCAGCTTGCCATGTACCTTGTTTGTATATACATTTTTGGAGGATCCCAGGACTCATAAGAAGAACACCTGTTTCCAGTCATGAGGGGGGGTGCTATTTAGCACATAGATCCTTTGGGAGGGGGTGAGGGTATTTGGAGTATACCCATGTACTGAACAGTGCTGACCTATGGGATCACCATGGCTTGAAACACTGTTTTCTCTGCTGGGGCCCAGCCCAAAGAACTATATGGCAAATTATGAATCTTTTGTCTTTGGATTAATGTCATGCATAGTTTGTACTATATATAAGGAGGTGCCAGAGCACTGCTTAAAAGTGTGTTTATGGAGTAGCTGTACTCATACTTGCAGCAACTTCAAAATAGGTAAACTGTGTTAATTGTGAATGAACTAAGTCTATGGGTACAACATGCAAATTACTACAGCTATGGGTCTGGTAGTGAGGAAGGGGCTGCAGAGGAAAGAAGTTGGGGGGGCAGAGGACAAGAGGGGCTGCCTGACCCTTCCGCTTTATTTTTCCTGCTGTAGCACTGGGAGGGGGACAAATTCAAGGCAAATTTGTTGGTAATAAAAACCAACTATGAAGTTGATTAAATGCAGCCGACACTGGGCATGACTATAAAATGTGTAGCCCATATTGGGCAAACATGCTGATGGGAAGCTGCCACAAGATAGGTATTACCACAAGATAGTTTTATTACCAATAATCAATTGCAATTGATTAGATTAAATCAATTGCAATTGATTAGTATTAGATTCTATACCTGGAAAATTATAACTAATTTATACATTTTCATTATATAGCTTCTAATTATTGGGGAGTCATCTTCTATTCAAAATCATCTTATATTCAAGTATATACAGTAGTTTTTTTGCCAGCATAAAGTCCCCGTTCATACAAACAAAGCAAATTAAGTTTATAACCTGGGTTTTTGTTTGTTTGTTTGGCTTTTTTTTATTTACTAAAAGTAGTGTTTAGCTAGTTATTGCAATAAATTGCTGAAATAGAATTTCATGTCTAGGTGAAGAAACACCCTTGCATATTAACTACAAAGACAGGATCAATGTTTAATTTAGTCACATATATTTACATATTTTTCCTGATTATCTGTCTTTTCTGTCACTCAGCAGTAAATTTAATCTAAATATATGCAAAAGGCCTAAAATTCCAAAACGAGATTAATGTGATTAACTTCTTGTTATTGAATCTCCTATGTTGCCTCCACATCTTGCTTCAAAATAATAAACTGAGTAAGCAAAATAGGGAACTTGACATTGTTGTTGGAGTCTGGTCGATTGCCTCTGCCTATGGCAGCGCTTCCAAACCTTATTAAATGATGCAGCCTGTCAAAAAGACTGTGTTCCTGGGTTTAGAATTTATTGTCTGCCTCACATACGTAGAATTTATATTGATCTGGCCTAGTATTTTAAGTAACGGTCCCCTCTTTTTTCAGACTGAAAAGAGTTGCTATTTGGAGTACTTTTTTTTCCCTAGTTGATGAGGCAAATTCCTTTTTCCTGCCTGCTCTTACAATCATAATCCTCAATTTGTGATGTGCTGATTTGTTGCTGTGGGAGTGGTAGTGATATTGCAGATGGTGATTTATAGGCTCTTAGCAAGAACAAGCAGGAGTAAGAAAATTACAAGAGAGGTTTTCCTTATAAATATATCATCTCTTTAGCTTACTCAGGTGAAAGGCTTTTGGCTCATAGTAAATTATCTTGTAGTCCTAAATTCATAATTTCTTCCTTTGCTGTGAATTTGGGCATTTAATAAAGAACCCACAATATGCATGGACAGTGCTTTTTGAAGAGGCCACTCTGTTGCCTAAGATGACTACAGGTATATCAATACACTTCTTAAAGCCAAGTGCTAAGAGAAAGTTAAACATATAACAGACAGTTATACTCATAATATTGACCAGTATTATTTGTGTTTAAATACTTGTATAACAATATCCTGGTTTAATTATATTTTTTCGCCCCAGAATTTTTGTGTGAGAGGACTTGAATTATTTTCCTCGTACCTGTTCAAAGATATTTTGGAACTCTATGACTGGAATCTTAAAGGTAAATGTAATTTACAAAATAGTAAACGCAGAAATACTGTATATGCTAATTACAAATGTAATTAGTTATGACTTGCTATTAGACCATCCTTTTCCTGAAGAAGGACATAATGAACAAAATTTAATGTTTTAATTTTAAGCAATAGGGACAACTTTCCAGTTTGTATTTACCAAGAGAGTACAGTTTATTTTTTCTCTTTTTTAAAAACTAATAATTTCAAGTATGTTGAGGCTTCTTTTTCCTGTAAAGTTTTAAATAATGTAATGGGAAGGGAAAAGAAACAATAACATAGGACATTTTATTTTCTCCTTAGTGTGACTAAAGTTAAACATTATTATTTTAAAGTACAAGACAAATCATGATACCAGCAAGCTCATTATTCATGTGTTCTTACAAAACTTCTATAATGTATGGATTATGAAAGCAGAATTTCTTCTTTTCCATAATACTGCTTCAGAATAGAACTAAAAACATTGAGAGAGAGGAGAGAGGTCCACCAAATCCTATTTTTCCTGACCTCTTAAAAAAATGATTTGTGACTACAGTTGATCACATGGAAATTTTTGCTATGTGGTAGGCAAAATTACACAGTGGCTTTTTATTTTTATGATTATGTATTTAGATAACTTTGTAGTTCAAAAAATCCTTGGCCATGTTGAATTCAATGGTAAAATTTCCATGTAATTCAGTAACACCAGGATTTTACCTGTTGTTCTTGTCAATGTGTGTTCAAAGTCTTAATTTTTTCAATGATTTTTTTTATTTAAGGTCCTTCACTTGAAAATGATTCTTCTTGCTGTCCAAGATTTCATTTCATGCCACGTTTTGTGAGATTTCTGCCAGGTATGTTTATAAAATGCAGTTTCAGGGAAAGGGAGCTTTAACACTCTCAGATCTTTTTCTTCAGAAAAGGAAGAACCTCTCGTATGACTGAAATCTGTTGCTCCAGTTATAATCTATGGTAGGGGTGTCAAATTCATCCAGCCTTATGGGATGGATGAGCAGCATGAGGCTGGTCTGCTGGCTGGATCTCCTTCTCCCTTCCCCTCCCCAAGTGTACCTGATCTGGTGGCTGCTGCAGCTTGTCTGGGATCCACTCTGCGTGCGGCATGGATCACAGAGCAGCCGAAATAGGTGCTACGTGCAGCACAGTTCATCAGAAGTGGCAGGCATGCTGCATGTGGTGGCTGCCCTGGCTGAACTGCCCTGCACAAGCACATACCCCAGCAGTTCTGGAACTGCATTGCATATGGCACCTGCTCCAACCAGTCCAGGACCCATGCCTTATGTAGCATAGATCCCAGACTGGCTGAAGCAGGTGCCATATGCAGCTCCCATCCCAGGATGAATGCCACTCTTGGTCTGTCTGGCCAGGGCAGCCATCACATACAGCATGGCTGCTGCTCTGGCTATACTGCACCAACATGGCATCTGTTCCAGCCACTATAGGTTCCATGCTGCACGCAGCTTGGGTCTCAGACCAGCTGGAGCAGACAGCCGGTCAGGTATGCTGGGAGAGGCATAAGGGGAAAAGGAGGGGGTCCAATGGCCCAGTCTGGCCTGCAGACTGGCCCTGCTTGTGGTTGTGTGCTATGCAGATACAAACACACCCAGGGGCAGCACTGAGGACCAGATGGCAGGACTCTCCAGGCTGCAACTTGCCTATGGCCCTATATGTGACACTCCTAGTCTAAGGATTTAACAGAAGCACTTTGTTAATTCATTAGGGAAAATTTTATTTACGGTCCAAAGAGCTAGTGACTTGATTTTCTTTTTTTAAACAAAAGGATAGATGTCAGGAGCAGGAGAGGGAACACAGATGGCTATACCGAGAGAAACAAAGATGGCTGTACCGAGAGAAAAACACCAGCATGGCCCTTAGCCAAGAAAAATATTCAATGCATGAAAAACTATATCTCATCTTGTAGAAAGAGCCATTATAGGGGTTTCACACATCTGTGATGTTGGGGTACAGGAAAAATATCATGGCTCTATTGTATATTTTCAAGGCTCCATTGACTTCACCAGCTAAGACTCTGCCCCTGCTTGTCCGCAGAGAAATATGCATGAAATAAGAAATGTACGTACTCTTCATAGTCAAAGATGTAGTATTACATAAAGTTGACCTAACTTTCTGATCAAAATATTACCAATACCTGTGTGAAGGAGGAGGGCAAAGTCCAAATGGGCAGATTCTATTTTCATTATAGAAAGTAAACTTCCCCTGTTTGCTCCTCTGAGCAGAGCACTGTGCATTTGATAGATTCTCTGAGACTGTTTCTTACTTCATGCAATATTAAGGCTGTCTTTACAAAGCTGAAGAAAATCTCTGAAACACTTCATATATGTAACCTGACCCTTCTAACAGAAGGTTTTAATTTTAATGGTTTGGTTCCAAGAGCAAGTCAGCCTCAAGGGTTAGTGATTGATCCATCTAGTGCCATGGAGGAAGACAGTAATATAAATTCACCTGGAGTTCCCTCCAAAGATGCTGTTCTATCACAACCATCACTTGCACCCATCTCTGAACTGGATGCGGACTGAAATGTTCTGTGTTGAAGAAAAATAAGTCTTGAGTCCCTATCCCCTTTGCACTTGGAACCGATTTGTAGCTAAACCAGGTTCATATCTGAATTAACTTCTCACTGTAGACAGGGTATTAAAGGAGCTTATCACTGCTGTTTCTCAGCAGTCCTGCATCCTAGAAGGGTATTCAGTCAGAAGCAAATCTCTGGTGTTAGCTAGCAAACATCAGTTCAGTCTGTTCATGTAGTTTTCTCTGTGGCCAATTGCTTGATCTCATCACCAAATGAAAATGTTTGACCTACCCAGAGTATATAACATTTTTTTATTTGTCTGCTTGTTTTCTAGTTTCGAAGTTGACTCATTCTTTATTGGTAGGTTGGTTCATTTGTGCTGGAATAAATCTTCTTGAATGCACTAGAATCTAGTACTCTGAATGCATAGTGTGAAACATCTTACCCATTTCTGTTTTTGAGGATCTCAGTGTCTGTCTGAGCCATTATAAAATAGATGCTTTTCCTCGGTACTGCTCCACATAAACAATTCTTTGTCACTGTGCTGACAGTTTAGAATCTCTCCGGGAGATACTTATTTTTAGCAAGTTTAAGTTACATTATTATTCTTTCTCCAAGGAGACATCCTTGGAGCTTATTAATCTCTACAGAGTGGGAATCTATTGCCCTCCGGTATATTTGCAGCAGGTTATTTATCTATAGTACTTGTTCTTTTAAGATATATTGATGCAATAGATCCCCACGTGTCCAGTGACTGCCTCCTTAGAGATAGGAATGAGTTGTTGGGTTTTTTTTCCTTTCTTGTCATATTTCTTTCACACGGAGTAAGGAGATACCATTTCTAGCTGTCCCTAGGTTAGTCGGGGTGACAGGCACGATGGCTCTGAACTTTGAGCTAATCAAATAGGATTTGCTGAGTGTCATTGACACGAGGGCTATGGAGCAGTAGTCTCTTGTAACTGCATTTATTTATTTATTTATTTTGGAATATACAAGAAGAATCTGTTACAAAATAGATAAGTTTGTTTGAGTTCTTTTGAGGAAAATGGTATTGTCCGCAAACATCAGTTGCTTAGTGTGTGAAGAGTAGAAAAGGCTGCAGGAGACCAGAGTTCAATAATGCTGTTCAGTGCGATCATCTTTATTAGAGAAGCTGGTTCCTCCTTTTGTAAATTTCATATTTTATTTATGGAATAAATAAAAGTTGATGCACATACCACAGTTGCTGATAGTTATTGGTCACTACTTGTCAAATTAATATTAGTTATTGATAATGAAACCTACCTGAATCTAGTAAACTGGGTCCTTTATATGGGAGTACTGTTCAAATTTAGAAACTGTGTTTGTATTTCAGATGATCAGTTCAGATTTGTATTTACCACTTTTATTTATTAAAAACAGTTAACCATAAAAAAAATTGGGTATGAATCTATTATAGAATCTAATTTTACTAAAGAGACTTCGAGAAGTTTGTGAGAATAAGTCCTGTTGCTGACCTTCTATGATCTTGGTCTTGTCTTTGGTGCACAGGTCAAATCCAGACTGGTATAAGAGAATCAATCAATATATTTTAGGTGGAAATCAGTTTAAATGTCCTTGCCCCAAAATGGTGATTCAGTGAGATTTTATTTTTATGTTTGCCTTTCAGCATACTGAGAGGTAGTTAGCTGTGTTAATATGAAGTCAGGCAGAAGACAGAAGTGGCGTCTCATTTTACCTCTCTGAATTAGTTAGCATCCTGAAAGAACAAAGTGGCACATTCTAGACTATTACAGTATTAGGGTAGACTATTAGGCCATGTCCAGATGAGCAGGGGCGTGTGCTTGCAGTGGCACAAATAGTAGCAGCACAACTTTGTGCCACTACTTTGTGCCTTAGCACATGCACCTGCAAGTCAAGGTTCCTTCTAAGCTGCGCATGTGCGTGACCATGCACAATAAAAAATTTTGCTGCGCAGTAACTTTTTAATGCCACGCACCTGCCCAGCTGGGCTGTGGCTTCCTACAAACTTTGGGCGTAGAGTGTGGCAGAGGCACCAGGGCCAGCACGGGACACTTACCAGTGGTAAGTTACCGTTCAGCTGCACGGGGGCTGCCTCACTCCTCCGCTCTGCTCCACTCCTTACTCCTCACTGCGCTGGCATCCCTGCGGGAAGGAGAGCAGTGCAGGGCAGGCAGCGGCTCCTCCCCGAGGTGAAGTGGGGGCAGGAATGGGGGCTGGGGCAGAGCCAGGCACCGCGCGGGCTCTGCCAGGTCAAGGGATCTGCTCCGTTACCCAGCCCCTTTGGGCGAGCTCTGCCCTGAGCCCTGATGCCATGTGCCTCCCCATCCCAGGGCATTTGGAAGAATGGAGAACCTGCCTTGTGAGAGGAGATTGGTGGGTCATAGCACCAAGCTTCAGGACTTCTGCTGATCACCTGAAGGAGCAAGGAAGAGCTTGCCCCTCCCAGCTTTAAGCCCTGGACATTGGCCACAGCCAGAGGTGGGAGATGGGTTGGGAGAGGGAGTGCTGGTGCCCCCAGAGACCTCCCAGGTGCAAGGACTGTGTGGGTTTTGCCTGCCTCTAGCATGGGGCATAGTCAGCTGTCTAGGTCTGTTTGAACACATCTTGCCCTGCCACTGCCATGGCAAAGATCTCAGTGCTCCTGTTGTGTGTCCCATTCCCATCCTGTGGCCCACAGTGGAGTTTTTGGGCAGGGGCTGCCCTGGATCTACCATGTGTGAAAGGGGCTGGAGTAGATGTTGTGGGCTCCTTTTCACAGTTTTCTGCCAGCATGTGTAGGGGCCCTGCCTGGGATTTCCTAGCAGGTCCCTTCTAGTCTTATGCTCCTGAATGCAGGCATTCCCCTGGTGCATGCTGAAAGGGGGAGCTGGGACCAGTTCAGGAACAGACCGCAGCGGTGCACTCATGGACCAAAGCAGCCTGTTCACGCATCGCTACATCTTAGAGAGAACATTGCTGTACGTGTGCTTTGTTGTGGGACAAATTGTCCCACTGTGGCAAAGTTTCCTTGCCCTGCTCCTTCCAGCTCCTGGTGTGCTGGAGCAGCTGGGATGCAAATGGGGCGCACACTGGCCAGCAGCCAGAGTTTCTCACTGGAGGGCCAAGCCATTTGTTCCGGTGCATATCATTGTAGTGTGTTCTGCAGGGGGGGTTTTCCAGCGCTTTATTTATTTATTTTTTTTGCTACTGGGAAATTTCAGTAGCAAATTTTGCCCCCACACTACAGATTTGCAGTGTGGGGCACATTTTACCATTCCATGGGTGCGGTTCGTGACACCACAAACCACACAACCCTGCTCGTCTGGACATGGTGTTATGGTCTTTGTGCTGTAGCAAGTTCCCCATATTGTTTCCCAAATAGTTCCTATTTGCCTGTTTAGGATTTGAAATCTAACTAATATTGAGGTAGGGTAGTGGCTGGATCAGATCTCCAATTTATTGACGGGAAATGCATCAAAAGCTTCTGCCTCTGCAGTGATGAACCCTTTCACCTGAAGATGTCTCCATATTTTCAGATTAATTTCTTGTTGTTTAAGGAAGATACTCAAGATTTCCACCAATATTAAAACATCTTTTGCACTGAAATTAAGATATATTAAGACTCAAATATTGTGTCCTTTACTCAAATATTTCTTCCACTCAGAAGTCTACATAGAGAGTTGGAATAGCAGGTATCTGAGTAATGCCTTTCCAGACCAGCATGAATTAACATCCAATTTTTTAGTTTTTGTGCCTATAACTGGCTGCCCAAACCAAGTCAGGTGCTTTTATTATTGTATCTCTTCTTGTAAAGTTCATTTCCTGATGGCTCAGAAATCATTAACTGTTTTCACATGCACTTGGTTCATCCAGTGACACCGTAAGTTCAGGCTACTCTTGAGTCTTTGTTACTGCACACATAACACATAAGCACTACACATTAGTTCATAATGTGGGAATAACTTATTGAATACATCCACAAATGTCACATAAAATTCTTCACTGTTCCTCAAGAAAGCCACATAATGTCTAAAGGCTTTTTAACTATTGTTGTAAAAGACATGATAAAATGGAAAATGGATTTGGACCATATAACTTATGATTCTACATGCTGGTTTTAGAGCCATTTGGCCAAATAGGAAACTTTAGGTTTTCAGTGAGATTAAACCATTATTCTTTCTATCACTAATATTATTGTTCCTAGTTTGGCAAATTTAAGCATTTATGCCTGCATACAATTCATGAATAAAATGTTTCCTCCTAGTCAGTTCTTGGAGCAGTTCACACTTTATTTTGCCCGTTCTAGTATTTTTATTCTTGATGTATTATTTTCCTTTAAGAATGTTTTTGAATATTTTTAATGCAGTTTTTAATTTCTGTTGTCAAGATGGAGGCAAAGAAGTGCTGTCAATGCATCAGATTCTACTTTATTTGTTACGCTGCAACAAAGCTTTGGTCCCTGAAGAGGAGATTGCCAACATGCTTCAGTGGGAAGAACTTGAATGGCAGAAGTATGCAGAGGAATGCAAAGGAATGATAGTTACCAGCCCTGGCATGGTACTGTGAACATTTTTTATTTATAAACAAGCCATATATGCACCCTGATCTTGTCTGAGTAAGTTCCATGCAGGTCACATTAGAAAGAGAGAAGGAAGCCAGTAAAAGCAACACCCCCCTTCCAGTCTCAGAGCTGTTGGAGCAATGGCATTAAAAATATGCTGAATTGAGTAGAATTGGAGATGCAGGATGTAATAAGCATACAGAAGTCTGACTTGATCCAAGACTGTGGAAAAGTTCATATTTTGTTGTCTTGATTGCTAGGATATTTGCTTGGAGCTGAATTATCAAAACATACATTGAAATGACTCTGGTTTAAGTATGTGGGACTTCAGTTTTCTTCCCCTCCGTATATGTTTTATGACGTTTTAATTAATTGATCACAATCTTTGTTTGTTTGTTTGTTTCTCCATAAGATGCCTGGCTCATTTAGAGAATTGGTAGTTATTCAATATTTATTTGAATTCTCCTCAATCGGTAAGTAGTTCCATCCTTTATTTCGGGTTGTCAAACATGGCCCGCAGACTACCAGCCTGGTTAGAGGGAGTGGCCTGCTGCAGAATCAAAAGGTAAAGCAGAGAGGTAAAGCAGAGAGGGGAGAGTGAAAAAGCAGGGGGCGGGGAAAGGCTAATGGAAGACATTACACTGATAGAGTACAAGGTAGAAAAGAGGCTGTCTGTGAAAAAGGAAATAGTTGGAGATCAGGAAAACAGGAATGAGAGGAGCTCAAAGTGTGAGATAATGTCAGTGAAAATTGAAATGGGTAAAATTGTAAAAAGAAAAGGTAAAGCAGGGGAGGGAGGGGGAAGAAAGCAGGGGAAATCAGGATTCTCACTGACATTCTACCACACTTAGCTTCTCTCATTCCTCGCAGTCTTAGACCAGCAGAGACTCCCTATGCCTGAAGAAGGGTGACTGTACCCGAAAGCTTGCCAAGAACTGTTTTCCAACTACTCAGCTGGTCTAATAAAAGATATCACCAATACTCTAGGCTGGCATCCAAATTCCTTAATCTCAAGACCATCTTTTCTCTTTCTGCATCTCCCCCTTTTCACTTACTACTTCCCGTCCAGCTCACACAGCAAATGAGCCAGGTGTCTTACAGACAGCAGCCTGCTTTGCTTCCTAACCAGCAATGAATCATTCCCACAGAACTGTCCATTCTGTGCTCTTGGAAAAGCCATATCACTGACATAGCCAAGGTAACATCCTGAAATTCAAGTCCCTATTTCAAAGAAAGGGGATATCAAAGTCTCTTACTAAAACAGTTTTAATTTTTTTTTAAACGTGGGCAGCCAAAAGATGTACCTTTCCTTAATTACATTCTAAGTGAACTGCTGCTGTTGGCATTTTCCAAAAAGTTCAGTTTATGGCAGAGTCCTGGCATGTGAAGATTCAGCTCAGATGTTTAATATCTGGCAAAGTTATAACCAATTGAAAACAGGATTTTATAGTAGGAGGGAGATGCACAGTGTGGCAGTTAAGACTATAGTAATTTGTGTGGACTTTACCACATCGAAGTATAATATAGTATGAAAAGTTAATATAACCTTCTTCTCAGTCAGTATAAATTAACTTCAGCGGAGCTATGCTGACATTCATCGGCTAAAAATTTGCTCTTTCATGTATGAAATCCTGTAGAAAAAATGTAGGCTGGTACATTCCATCATTTTATAAATAGGAGGTGATCATGTAATTAAAGCATATGCACAAGGGAGCAGAATTTGCATGCATTGCATTAACTTTGGTTTTTCCTACCTTTTGAGTACTTAACCATCAACTCGTAGAATTCTGTAAGGAAAGTTGATGGGAAGAATGTGTGTATGTATAGCTATATGTAAATATAAAGATGATTTATTTGCTATGCTTTGAAATGTTATCATGTTATAATGCCATGAAGGGAAAAGATCCTTAATATGCTTTCTTTCATTTAAGAAGAATGTGATGAGTTTTTCTTAGTCTGTGGATCTTTTTAAAGTGATTACAGCATGCTCTACTGCATGTAAAAATAAGTGAGAAGCAGAGCATGAAAGTGTCTTCTGTGCGTTTTTACCACCTGTTATGAGATGAAACAACTCTATTGTGGAGACAATCTGAAACTGCTATAGAAAATGACAAGTCTTACATTCAATTTAGTCAACTTTATATGACAAAGTAAATACTAAATTTGATTTTGTTCTTTTCACAATATCATTTGTGAAATAAGATTCCTCCTGAGAACAAATCAGATTTTCCTATACTTTTTATTATATAGGAAAATATGTAAGTATAAGTACTACGCAGAGAAAGAAAACACTTTTGCTAGCCACACAAATCTGTTCAGATGGAGTAAAAAAGCAACAATGGCTCAGCATTATGATGAATAAATTAAAATTTTCAAGTTAGTTTAATCAAAGTTTGTATTGGAAGAGTTTTAAAGGTTCATATCTTTAAAAGACAGGCAATTATTTAAAAAAAAAATGTTGCTGCTATTCCAGCCAGTATAAATAAATATCTTTATAAAGCTGTATTCTCTGCAATACCATCACATTTTCTAAAATAAGCAGAATCTATATTGGTCAGTTCTTGGATGGAAAACATAGCTAAATAGCACCATTTTTGTGAGCTGGAATTGAACCAAGACCAGCATATGTTTCAAATGCTATTGTGCCATTTCAGCTCTTTTAATACAATATGTTAAAACCATTAAAAGATCTCTCAACATTTTTGTAGGAGTTAAAGGGTATATGTGTGAAAGGAGAAACCTACATTTTGTGTGTCCTGTTTCCTTCTCAGATAGATACTGTATAAATAGAGACTGAAAAGGGACATCATGTTTTCTCCTTCTTCTTTTATTACCTTTAGAAATAATACAAGTATTAAGTGTGCTTGCTCTTCTGTGTTCTTACTAGAAGTCTGCTTTGAGAAATGAGAGACCTAGTGCTGGATCTCTCTCAGACCTGGACTGAAAGAAGAAAATATTGATCCTGTAGCAGAGTTGACCCAGTTGTTTTGTCCGGCATTAGTTGACAGCTTCAGTTAAGGGATAACATTGATGTTTAGGCACCTAAAGAAGCATGGTCCTATTTTTTTTAATGATACCAAAGTCACTCATTTCCCATTGACTTCACAGGAACCACTAGTTTAAAACACTGTGGTTCTGAAAATAGGAGCCAATGCAATCCTGATGCCAGTAGTCTGAAATCAGATCATTTTTTATTTAGGTGCCTCAACTTGTAGGCATGAAGGATTAAACAATTTGCCTAAAAGGCATCTAATAGTTTGGGAAGGGTAATAATTACCCCTCCCTCCTCTCTACCCCTGCAACTTAAGTTTTATTTCTTTGGTCCCCATGATATTGCCATTTTTACCAATTTCCTAGGTGTTCATCTAGTCTGTTGGGAATGAAAAGATTATCTGAATATTTAAGATATTTCTGGAAATATCTGAATTTCTAATAGCAAGGGAGGCAGACATCAGAAAGGAGAGATGTAAAAACAACTCATGTTGGAGTTGCGTCTGTGCATCATATAAAGACTCAAATAAGGTAACAGGTGACCTTGTGAAAAGCATTCTCAATTTCCTCCCTGAGCTTTCAATAAGATACCCATTTGTACATTTCTTTGTCTGGTCTATTAGGTAGAAAAAGCCTTTGGAGCAAAAAATTCTGTGCACCTGTTTAAAATGCATAAAGTTATTTTTAAAACTTTATTGGACGCACAAGTAAAAACTAATTTTCCATCATCATGTATAAGCAGCTGCTGATGAACAGTTCTCCCTTTCATGGGCAAATGTTCATGCCAGTTTTTCAAAACTAAAATTGTAGTTCTGTTCTCTGAAGAGCAGTATGAATATTCCAGAGGTGACTGCAGTTTGCCAGTGAGTCAAATGATTCCTATTTTTAGGTTTGTTTGTTTTTTGGAAAATGCTTATTTGGGGGTGAAAGGTTTTGATTATAAATACACTGAGGGGTTTTCTTGCTAAGGCAGTTATAATATCCATGCTGTTCTTGCAACTTCATGAAAGATGCTGCAAGTCTTCTACGCTAAATTGACAGCTTTAATAAAGAGGTCACTATACTTTATGTCCTTTTTCAGAAACTACTGAGAACCTGATAGCTTTAACTTAATCCAAGCAGCTAATTGCAGGATGGAAAATGATGTAGGCACATAACAAAACAGCTTGCAAGATAATGGTAAAAATATTTATGCAAAGACCCAACTGTTCACCTTAAGCTAAGGTTTTGCATATGCTACTAACGTGAACGAGAGCACTTTAAACAGCACGTCTTCTTCAGTGATGTGTAATTACTCATTTTCTGCATTTTTAGAGGTGAAGTGAAAGTCACATCCTTTTACAGTGTCCTTTTTAAGCTATAAGAAGAACGTCTGTTTTGAAGTATGAAAAGGACAAAGTATTCTCCATTATATAAGACTTTATTCCTCATTATGTGTGTCAGCTTAGCAGCATTTTCGAAGAGTGGTACTACAGTTTTTATGCTGCTAATCTGTGTGACTGACTGCGTCTAATAATGATTTTGCTTACATTAGAAATCAAGAATAGAGCTAAAATTAGAAATGTAATATGATCTAGTGAACCATGCATAGGCATAGGAGCCAGAAGTTGCTGTATTACTATTACAGTTCTGCCACTAACTTCCTGTTTGGTCTAGGTGAGTTGTGTGAAATTCTTAGAAACTGTCAATCGGGACTCTCAGTAGAGATGATATCTTCTTTAGACCGACAAGATTTTTGCAAAAAGAGCAACTTAAAGAAAGGCCATTTTTGTCTGACACTGAAGAAAATGCTTCATGTCCATAAAATATGTGCTGTGCATATAGACACCTCCAATCTGCAGTAGAGCCCCAGCCTGAACCCATCTGAGCACCTTCTTTCCTGGCTTCTTGCACTAATTTAAAAATAAGGCACCCAGAGAGGTGACCCTTTGCCTTCCCAATAGACCCCTTTGTCTCTGGCCATCCTGACAATGAAATCCTTCCTAGAATCATAGAAAACGAGGGTTGGAAGGGACCTCAGGAGGACATCTAGTCCAGCTCCTTGCACCATCCCCAACTAGATCGTTCCAGTGAGGGCTTTGTCAAGCTGGGCCTTAAAAAAAACTCCACAGATGGAGATTTCCCCAGCTCTCTAGGTAACCTGCTCCAGTGCTACATCACCCTCCTAGTGAGAGTTTTTCTTAATATCAAACTTAAGTCTCCCTTGCTGCAACTTGAGACCATTGCTCCTTGTTTAGTCATGTGCCACCACTGAGAACAGTCCGGTTCCATCCTCTTTGAAACCCCTCTCAGGTAGTTGAAGGCTGCTATTAAATCCCCCCTCAGTCTTCTCTTCTGCAGACTAAATAAATCCAGTTCTCAGCCTCTCATAAGTCATATGCCTCTCTGATTTGTGCATGTCCTTTCTGTAGTGGGGGGCCCAACACTGGACACAGTACTCTGGATGTGGCCTCACCAGTATCGAATAGAGTGGAAGAATTACTTCCCTTGATCTGCTGGTAATGCTCCTACCAGTTCAGCGCAGTGGGTGCATCTACACATGTACCTGGACTGCACAGTTGTTACTGCACAGTCATTTAGTACTTGCTTAAGGAAGTACTAAATGACTGTGCAGTAACTGCCATTACTGTGCAGTTCCAGCGCCACACAGGATTTTTCCCCATGCTTCTGTGAGATACTGTGCAGTAGCTTGTTGCTACTCCTGTTTGTGAAGATGCTTTTCCTTCTCCTCATTATGTGGATCCTGTCTCTTCCTAATAGTTTTTCTTTTTGGAACAACATCCTGTGGTTGAAGAATCCAAAGCCCTTCTGGCAACACCGTCTCTGCAGCCATGCATTGATCTGCACAATGCATTCACTCCTGCCTGGAACCTTCCTCTTGACTGGAAGGATCCAGGAGAACACCACCTGAGCCCCTGTCCCCTTCACCCTTGCACCAAGAGCCCTGTAGTTACTTTTGATCTGCTGAGGGTCACCCCTGGCAGTATCATTGGTGCTCCCCTGGGTGAACAGCAGAGGGCTGGATGAGTCTCAGTAATCATTCCATTACATCCTGGATCTGGGCAAGCAGCAGCCCTCCTGAGAGCAGGTCAGGCCAACATATGGATGCCTTCATCCTGCAGAAGGGAGTCTCCAACCACCACCAATCATCACTTCCTCTTGGTGGCAGTGGTCTTAATCATCCCAACCTTGGGGATGCCTGGCCTGGCCTCTTCCACCAACAGAACATTCTCCTTCCTGTCTGTTGTTAGGGCTCCATATCTGTTCTCCAGGCAAACTGCTGCAGGTGGAGATGAAGACTTCTGCTTGCTGCCAGAGGTCACAAGCTTCCAGCTTCCACCCTCCTGTGAGTCCATGTCCTCTCTCTTCTCTAGTGATGCCTCTCTCAGTCCTTCCTCCATAGTCCTCCTCCAGCATCGATTTGATGAAGTACTCATGGAAAAGATTGCTTCAAAGCTTTGCTGCCTCCTCCTGTAGCTCTCTTGCCTGCTTCCTTAGGGGCACCACTCACACCTAGCTGTCTCTGGAAGGAACCTCCTGCAGCACCAAACCAGGACCTAGGTGGAAACCTTGACAGTGATCAGTCCTGCTTGGACAAATACCTCACAGGTGCCAGTAGAGGAAGAGCTGGCAGTGGCTGGCAGTGCCAGTAGAGGAAGAGCTGCCAGTGGCCCTGGCATCATGACGTCCTCCAGCTATTTCCCTGGCTCTTCTAATCCATTGCCTCTCTCTTCCTGGCCCTTCTTCCAAGCACCCCTTCCCTAGCAAAATCCCCCGTTAACTGTCCTGTTTGCTGCTCTTTGGTCCTTAAAGGTTCCCTTTTAGCAGGTGCCAGTAGAGGAAGAGCTGGCAGTGGCTGGCAGTGCCAGTAGAGGAAGAGCTGCCAGTGGCCCTGGCATCATGACGTCCTCCAGCTATTTCCCTGGCTCTTCTAATCCATTGCCTCTCTCTTCCTGGCCCTTCTTCCAAGCACCCCTTCCCTAGCAAAATCCCCCGTTAACTGTCCTGTTTGCTGCTCTTTGGTCCTTAAAGGTTCCCTTTTAGCTGCTAACCTGCTTCCTCTCACCAAGTTTACAGTGAAGAAGGTGAAAGAGTTTCCAGGCAAACTCCCTAGTGAACTCCTCCTCACTCTGGACTCTAGTTACATTAGGGGCTTAAGTATTGGTTTAACTGCTGAGTTTTCACTGCTCATACTAAATATATGTAGGTTAATTACTCTTAATTAAAGAAAGAACTTACCTTAAAAGCTCCCCTGCAAAGAAGGGGATGCAAACTGACTTGCATTCTGCTTGCAAACTGCCCTGTTTGCTCCGTGGTCACTTGGGGAGTCTCCTTATATACACTCTTGGGCCTGGACTGGCTCCTCCCCCTTGTTAGGGCTTTTGACAGAGACACACTCACCCCACAATTATTCAGTTAGCAGCATTCCCAGCTGCTCTCAGAGCACAAGCCCCACCACACAGCCCACCAAACAAACACTCAGTAAGTCGAACACAGGTAGCCGTGGCTCACTTACCTTCCCTGAGTGGGATCTGGTGCCTGGCATCTCTTTCTCTTCCCCTTCCTTCTCTTGCTCCCAGTAAACTGCTTGCAAACTGCCCTGTTGGCTACCCCTGTTTGCTTGCTCCCTGGTCACCTGCAGAGTCTCCTTCTAGGCCTGGACTGGCTCTGCCCCCTTGTTAGACCTTTTGTCAGACACAGACAGTGGTTACCCAGCAATCGTGTTTTAGGATTCTTTTATGCACACCTAATCAAATATATCATCTAGTCAGTGTTGAAAGTCTTGTTTCATACAATGATGATGGCATTCATCTTGGTTCCTGGAAGGTGAAGATTATATCCCATAAGGTATCAAAAGATCTGCTTGCTAATTAGAAAAAACTCTTCTTTTTTTTTTTCTTCCTAGAAACCCAGCTCTGTTCGTATTGATCAGTTGGACCGTGAGCAGTTCAATCCAGATGTGATTACTTTTCCTATTATTGTTCACTTTGGGATACGACCTGCTCAACTCAGTTATGCTGGAGACCCTCAGTAAGATCTTTTTCTTGGAAAGTTTATGTTAGAAATGGTAATATTCATCTATTAAATAAGTGTGTGCATTTGTGCCTTTTGAAGATGATGGGAAGCCTAAAATTAACTGCAGTAGGAGAAGGGGCAAGACCTGGGGTTTTTTGGTAACTAGGGTAGGGGTGCTCCACCCCCAGCCCGTGGGCTTGATAGGTCTTGCAGCTTTATGCCGTCTAGCCCATGGAGATCTTCATGGGTCTAGACATTTGACAGTGGGGGAGTGGTTCCACTGTTCTCCTGATGTCTAATTTCTGGACCTATGAGAAACCCTGGGTCCTGGTTGCTGGATGGGATGTCCAATCCCAGAACACAAAACTGGATGAAGGCGACACTGGGCCGCAGGTCCCAATCCCAGCATGGGGGGCTGGGACAGGGCAGTGTCAGATTCCCAGGACCTAATTCTGGTGCGTGGGGAGCAGAAGAGGGTAGTGTTGGGAACACTGGAACCAGTCGTGACTCAGAAGTGGGACTGACTCTGTGCCACTCATTTGGCCCACAAGGACAAGAGATGGAACACCACTGAGCTAGAAAATAAGTCTACTCTTTCAATGCATCATTATTCTGAATTTTCTTTATAAATCTTAGATTTAAATCAAACGTGCACTTTATACAATATTAAAATTATATATTTTAGTATAAATCTTAAGCTGAATTTGCCTAGGGGTCTTTTTCTCAACAGAAAAAAAAGTGCTATTGTTTTACAAATAAGAGATTTAGTGAAATTGATATTTATATTATTGGTTCATTTTAAAAAGCTTTAACAGTTTGAGAGCAGTGAAAACACTTGGACCTGAAATTAAACTTCACTTTTGGGTTGTGGTTAAGTCAGTTGTGCAAACCAGTACATTTGCATTCTTTGTCTAGCTGTGACACATATTTCTTTGTTAACCACGGAGATCACTTTAAGCTTGTGGTGTCTTTGTTTCTGTAGTAGTAAAATGAGAATAATTGTTCTTCACGACCTTTGTTTCAAAACTAAATTCCCTAATATTTGTAAGCTCTTTGGTTTTCTTTTATGGAAGCCATTAGAAGAACACAGTGCTATAATTCTTCCTACATTGTCATTTTATCTTTAACTTTATCTAAAATTTTTTGTTAAGATTTCTTTAAAGCCGTCAAGGGATTTTAGACACACATCGTCCATTACAGCTAATGGAATAATTTTAATGTAAGACTTTTCTGAGTTGGCTTTCTAGCATCTCAGACCTATTATTTTGGTAAGAAATGTCTATTCCAAGGGCATTCAGAAAAGAAAGTTCTGCCTTTTGTGTTTTTTTTCCTTGTTCTGGTTTTTCATATAGTTTTATTCTTGTTATTCCTATCCTTCAGGCATAAATATCTGAGGACTTTTCACACAAATCAGCACCAAGAACAAAGTCTCTTTTGGACTTCCTGGAGTCTTTGACTCTCCTCTATTTTTGGAAGGAAAGTTCTTCTTGGAGCTTATTTGGTTGTTGCTTGGGTAGTTGATTTGTTTGTTTAGCTTGGTGGCTCTCAACTGCAGTACCACAATACCCTAGGGTGCCAGCAGTCCCTTCTGGGGGTGCCACAATGTGGGTGCTGCCACAGGCAAGCTGAACTGTGTGCCTCCTGTGGAGGGAGATCAGGAAGCAGCTGAGGCTGCAGGCCACGGTCTTCCTACTAGGGGTGTGTGAAGCTGTCCCTATTTGATTCGGATTCAGCCTGAATCAGGGACAGTGATTTGATTTGTTGATTCAGATCACGGTCCCTGATTTGATTCACCCAAATCCGTATCTGAAGATTTGATGCTGACTTGGAAAATCAGCAATTCGGACATAAACACAGCTTTAAATGTTTTTTCTACATACCTCGAGGTACCAGCGCGGCTTGTGATCGCTGCAATTCTGGGGCGGATGGAGCATCCCACAGGAGTGCTGGGGGCCCTCCATGTGTTCAGCTGTGAACGCGGAAGTGGACCAGAAGTACTTCTGGTCCACTTCCAGGTCTGCTGGGGAGCATACTGGGGAGGTCCCCATGCGCCCCCCTGGCTTGGCGACCCCCAGACCCAGGAGGCACCAGTCACTGAGCTGGGGGGGGGAGCCCCCCACACGCTCCCCAGTGGACCCAGAAGTGGACCAGAACTGCTTCCGTTCCACTTCCGGATCTGCTGCTGAGCACACTGGTGAGCCCCCCCATGCTCCTGTAGGACACTCCATGCGCCCCAGCATCGCAGCACTCACAAGCCCCTGGTACCTAGAGGTTTGTAGAAAAAACATTTAAAGCTGTCTTTATGTCTGAATCTCTGAATCTTTCCAAATCTCTCCAAATTGATTTGGAGAGATTAAAAGGTCCTCTGATTTGATTCAGCTTCAGAGATTCAGCCACCAAATTGGGCCAAATCTCCGCCAAATTGAATCGAGGACTGAAGCATCGCACAGCCCTACTTCCTACAGCCCTTTAAAGTCCAACTCCACATGTTCCTCCAGGCAACAGGGTCACACAGGCCCCGTGAGACTGTCCCGTGCCCTTCTGTATCCAGGGAGAGCAAGCATGGTAGGATCAGGAAGGGATATAGGAAGAGTGCACACTCCAGATGCACCTCTTTGCACTGCCTAAGGGGAGCTAGTCCGGTCTGTGGAGCAGTTGTTTGAACTGCCAAGCTGGAAGGGTCAGGCTGGGTTTCACCAGCCTGTCACAAAGCCCATCCATGGAGTCAGGCTCAGCTTCACGACTGCTGAGCCAGAGAATCAGTCTGGGCTTGAGCAGCCACTTGCATTGCTTAGCTGGAGAAGCTGGGCACAGGTGCACCCAGGGCACATGAGATAGCTCTCCTTCTCCCTACCCACCCACTGGCACAGGAGAGTTTCACACAGGACACAAAACTCATGCCTGCATTAGGTTCATCAGAAAACCTTAATTCAGGCAGGAGCACACAGCAGCACCCTGGTTGAGAAGCACTGCGGTAGGCAGAAGCAGTGAAACAGTAGCTCTCAACCCAACTCAAGAAAAGTTGGGAGAGTGCACCTTGATGTGAAAATGCTTGAGAACCACAGTCAACAAGGTGGGACTGCAAAGATAATGAATGTATAAGTTGTTTTGAAAACTATCCTCATGCTCACTTAAGTGCAGAGAAAATGGCATAGGAACAGTCAATGGGATTAGCAGTTTCCATTTGTATATAGAGTAGGCAGACAGTAATCTCAGAAGATTATGGGAGCATGTTTAGGAATGATGGACAGGAATTGCAATGAGCAGGATCGGGTAAGAAAAAAATGTGGGGAGGGAGAGCGGGGCTGTTGAATATTATGAACTAGCAGAACAGCTGGCACTTCATGTGAGAGACTATCAATAACCACCACATGAGGCCAATTCTAAACTGAAGCTATTTGTACATTTGAAACATTAAAAAAATAGATCACCAGTGTAATAACCTACTTACCTCCATTTGCTTCCTTTATTTTAAAAGGTGGTTGCTTTATGTGGTTTTTGAAATCCCCTGAACCATCTTTTTTCTACTATAATTTTTTTTTAACATTGTACATTAATTTATACAGTCTAACTCCCTGTTCTGATTGAAGCATTTCCTTTCAGTAAGTAGGCTTATTCTTTCCATAAAAGCAGCCACTTGAATGGAGCATTTGGAGGGTAAAGCACTGGGTTGGGATCAGTTATCCTCCCAGTTCTGCCACTGGCCTCTTGGGTGACCTTGGGTAAGGCACTTCACCTCTCTGAACTTCAGTTTCAGTGCAGTTCCTGTACAACATAGGTGATTATACTCATTTCCTTGTGTTAAGCTCTTTGAGGCATATTTGTTGTGCAGAGAAAGTATTGATAAAATACGTGGTCATGTTAATGGCAGCTAATCTGGTCACTACATCAAGCAGTGGTACACTTATGTATCTCTGGTTTTCATTAATTATTTTCTGCAAATGGCAGTGCTTTTTAATTTTTTTTTCATTGCACTTCAGGTACCAAAAACTATGGAAGAGTTATGTGAAGCTGCGTCATTTGCTTGCTAATAGCCCCAAAGTCAAACAGGCTGATAAACAGAAATTGTCACAGAGAGAGGTGAGTTGCAATGTAGCCTGTGAGTCTGGCATTGTCGCTTTCTGACTAATATTACATGTTGCTGCATTCCTATGGAAATAAGTAAAGTAATATCTGTTGTTATCCTCATATGTGATTTTCTCCTCACTGTGTTACTTTGATATTACAGTTAATCTTGACTTCTAATAGAGTGGCTTTTTCCTCCCTACCCAACTGCAAGTTCTTTACCCAATTACAGAAACTACCATAAGGAGCTGACCTTTTTATAGCAGTTGTCATTAATGATTTCAGTAATTAATGTTGAGAAGAGCTTTCCATTCCAGGCTGTTCTTTTCAATTACTCATAATCTTAAAAATTTCCCTTCTGGGATGAATCTGAGTCCAAAGCTGTATTTGGTTGAAAAGTCTTAATGAAATTCCTTAACCTCTTTCCGATCGAGTGAATCTTGAGAAGGTGGACTGATATTTAAAAATGTAATAATTGAATCACAAATATTAGCTATTTTTTATTTCCCCCCCAACAAAGCACTCCCCAATATACCTGGAGGTAAAAAATACTGGTGATTTGTTCCTTGGAGTATTGAGTGCTTGGTAGCTGGTATTTATTTGCGTGGCAGATATGAATGCTTAGTAATTTGGAAAATCAACCAACCTGAATGTGAATTAAGACTTCTACTTTGGAAGTCCTTGTCTTTTAAAAAATCTTGGACTGAAGTATTAATGTTGCTTCTTTATATGTGTGACAGTAACTCTGAATCAGAGGACTGATGTAAAGTATATGAAGGAGAATAGAACTTTTTTAGTATGGAATGACATTTGAAAAAGCAGCTTTTCTTTCTTCTTTTTAGTTAATTTATTTGCTGTTTTCTTATTTTGTAGCTGATCCTGCACTAGATGGCCTTCAAAATATTTGATAGTGCATTAGATTTCATTACTACTGCAAAGAATAGCATGCTGCTGTATGAACATGGGGCTTAATTAACATTGTGTTTATACTAGTATATATAATAACTCAAAACCTTTCAGCTTCTTTTCTTGTAAATGTGAAGAATCACTGTGTTAAGTTATCTGTGCCATAATTCTAAGGAAAAAAGCTTTTGCCACTGAAGTAGATGATTTTGTCTTTACTGCAGTTTTCATCACTGCAGCACAGAACAAATGGAAGGCTAGAACTTTTTATTAAAAATGTCTCATTAGGGAATAATGGATGAGTTGTTCTTAAAATTTTAGTAGATAGGGTGTGGAGACGATTATATTTTGCTGTCAAAAATGAAGTGCTCCTTTTGACATTTATCACTTACTGTAGTGTGTAGACCTTTGTTTCTAGATTGTATCATCTAGGATGATGGGTTTCTAAAGTAATTGTCTGTCATAAGGGAGATATATTGAAATGGCAGAAATGTTATGCTAGGATGCCCAAATTTTGTGATAGTGAAGGCTACATCTATAGCACATTAGGTGGTGTGGGGCCACATCCAATTGGTGTGTGAATCTTTTAAAGTGATTGTTCATAACTGATCTCTGATGATACAAGTGGCTGGTGCAACTGCAAGGCTGGAAGACATAATAAAGCCTACCCAAAGAGTGCGTAAGTGATGGCCTTATCCAAGGTCCATTGAAATGTAGATTGGATCCTAAAGGAGTGATGTTGTTAGCTCTGTTTCTCCTTTATGACAGCAATCATTCATTTCACAGTGATTATATGATGTGAAGTTATTATTTATATTGGGGTTATTCCTACATGCATCAGTTGTCAATCAGGAGTCCATTCTGCTAGAAGTTGAGGAAATGAACAACAAAGAGGCTGTCCCTGTGCTGAAGAGTTTTGGTGGGGGGTTTTTAGTTAAATAACAGAGGCTAGGAAGCAGAGGTGGGAGAAGTTCTCAGCAAAAGTCCTATGGTGCAACATAGAAGGAGAAAGGAAAAACATAGCATGGTGCAGTTCCTGGTTCTGAATTAGGTACTGTCATGCTCACAGGACTGTTTGCAATATTAGGACCTAAATTCAGACTCGGAGAACCTAGCATATTGATGATATATGTATTTATATTTCTTTAGTTATATACACAAAATAAAAGGCACATACACTCAAGGTTCCACAGGCCCCTGTGCGTCATACAAACATATAGAAACAGCAGGACACAAAAATCCTTGTGGCCAAGGCAGGTGCAGATTTTGGAAAAAGATGGTACATTTCATAATAGTAGGCAGAAGAGTCAATAGATTCTGACCCCTGCCCCATGTCAGGGACATTTGCATGACTAAACCAGAATCATCGGTTTGGCTGGGGTCATATAATAACAATCTGTCTTTTATCAGTGTTCATGTTATAATCTTCTAAATAGAAATATGCATGAAAAAAGGATTTGAATGAAGAATCACTCGTTCCACATGCAAGGCTAGGGTTGAGGTGTCACACATAAAGAACCCCAAGAGAAAATTACCTTCTGTTTTACTTACATTTCCCTTGGTGGATAAAGAGGCAAGTTCTATGTCACCTATGACAAAAATCTCTGTTTAATCAGTTACATTCTCACTATTCATCCACCAGGATCAGAGGACTGAACCATTCTCATGTCCCTCCTCACTGTTTATATCCAGGTTATATTGTTATATATTATTATATCATTACCGAGGTGTTTTGGCTGGCTTCAGTTATAGGATTTTGGTGCCTAGACTGAAAGGATGCGGCCCAAAAATAGACAGTTGCAGGAGGGGGAAGAGGGAAGGGAAGTGGGGGATCTGGGATTTTATGTTCACACACGACTTAATATTGCTTTAGTGTAGCATAGGGGTAGGCAACATTTTTCCAAGTGCGGAACCTCCCCTGGTCAGAGGCAGGTGAGTGGGCACCACTGCCACTTATCTCCCAGGCAGCATGGGGAGAGTACCTACAGTTGGCTCTCCCTGCACCCAAATGCCACCAAAGCTCTTTTATCCTCAAACAATGGGTCTGTGGGCTGTAGGTTGCTGGCTTCTGGTGTGTAAGTTTTTCATGGTGACCCCATTCTCTCTCATTCTAGGAAGCACTGCAAAAAATCAGGCAGAAAAACACAATGAGACGAGAAGTGACTGTGGAGCTGAGCAGCCAAGGATTCTGGAAAACTGGCATTCGTTCTGATGTCTGCCAGGTAACAAGAGGCCCAGGATTCTTAATGAAGTCAGTTCTGTAAATGGGCAGCTTCTTGTCTCCCAAATTAATAGCATCCTCTGCTGAGGATTTACCCCCATCCTGGAACTGGGCTGGGGGGGAAAACAAACAAACTATATACTAAAAGTCAAACATCTGCTATAATATATTTTAATTTTATTTTAAATATATTTTTGTCCTGATTTATGTGTGTTAGTATAGTACATATAATGCTGATTGCATAATAGCTCAAAATAAGGGATTACGCTTGTATATTGTGTGTTGGGGGCGTGTGTGGGGTCTGGTTGTGAGGTGGGTATGTGTGTATGGTTGGGTGCGGGGAGTGTGGGGGAGGTTTGTGAGGGCATGTCGTTGTGTGTATGGGGGGGTGGGTAGGGCTACATTGGGGGGTGTGGGTGTGTGTATGTGTTGGAGGGGTGTGGGCAGGGTGGGAGAGTGTAGGGACCCCCACCCCCTCCCTCATGGCACAAAGCCCCTGCTGCCCGGGCAGCCCACACCAGCAGCTGGCAGTGGGCCCTTGGGATGCTCATGGCCCATGCAGGTGCAGCTATCTGGCGGCGCACAGATCCAGTCAGTTCTGGGAGCTACACATGGTGGCAAGAAGGTGTAGTCAAGCTATCCTGCCTCTATTGCATGGGGTTCACTCCTGGGACTCGCGCACCACTGGAGGGAAACCCTGTGTGATGGAGCTGGCTGCCTTCCCCACTCCCTGTTGCTATGTGCAACCTCCTGGACTCTGCTGGAAGTGGCAGGGAGCCTACCTTCCCGATTCCTGGTGGAGTCCTAGGGGCTGCACATGGCGGGCGAGGTAGCCGGCTCCATCGCACAGGGCTTCTCCCCTGTGGCACATGATTCCTGGAAGCTTCACGTGAGCCCCACATGATAAGAGGCAGGCCAGACTGGCTCCTCTTCTTGCTGCCACATGCAGGTCCCAGAATTAGCTGGAGCCATGCGCCACTGGGCGGCTGCACCTACATAGGTCACGAGCACCCTGAGGTCCCGCTGCCTGCTGCTGCATCCACCAGCAGTGGGGGGTTGTGCACCATGGGGGAGGTTGGGTGGGGGCACACTCCCCACCCTCCCTCACAGCCACAAACCCCACACACCCACACCTACACCTTTCCCACCCAAGCTCTGTACTCACGTCACCCTGCTGGTCGTGGGTCCCAGGCTCCATGTTTCTACCCAGCTGCAGCTTCCCTACTTGCTGTCCACAGCAAGCGCTGCAGCAGGGACATGAGGAGGGGCTGCTGGAGGCCGGGGAAGCTGAGCAGGTTCCCTGGCAGTTGCCTCAATGGCAGCAGAGGCCCCGTGGGCTGTGTGGGGTACAGGTAACTGGTGGGTGCCCATGGGCTGGATGATATCGCCTGGTAAGCCGGATCTGGCCCATGGGCAGTATTTTGCCCACCCCTGTACTAGATGGTTTCCTGCAGTCTTTCCAGTTCTGTTTTTCTGTGTTCTTATCATTCTATATTTCAGATAGGAAAAAGGAATGTGCCTAGGGGTAAAATATTTTAAGGATATCTTTTTACTGATATGTATGCGTATCTTGTCCGAGCCACAAACCTCTTGAGAGAGATTCCAGAGCAGGTGGCATTGCAGACAAAGGAACTAAAGAAAATCCTCTTAAAAATTAACATGTTTTGCATATTATTGTCTGTATTAATAGTGGTCAAAGCATGTGGTTGGAAAGGGATTCCAAGAGTCATCTGGTCCAATCCTGTACACAGTGCAGAATCTATTATTCATTGCAATCTTCAAATATCTGTAAGGCTGCCATAAAGATGAGGGAGAACACCTTTTTTTTCTCTTGCTACAGAGAACAGGATGAAGTCCAATGGCTTGAAGTTGCAGTAAAGTAGATTTAGATTGAATATGAGGAAAACCTTCCTTACTGGAAGAACAGTGAGGCAGTGGGATAGGCTGCATAGGGAAGTTGTGGAATCTCTGTCATTGGAGAAATTCAAGAGGTTGAATATGCGTGCTATAGAATGGGTATTTCCTATGCTTCCAGGCTTTTGTGGTTTCTGCATGGGGCTAGCAAGAATTTTTCCTGCCCCCTCCTGTTGCTACACATCAGGGTATTTTTGTTTTTTCGGGGGGTTTCTTTGGGAGTTGCCTTCTTTAGTAGCACTGAAGCACTGGGTGTTGGCCTTAGCCAAGGCTGGGGTTTTTAACTGGGATGCCAGTACTCCTGGCCAGTACTCCTGCTGGGACTAAAATCTGGAGGTTCATGGCTAAAGAGTCAGATCAGTCACCACATTTAGAATTAGGAGGTATTTTTCCCCCATTCTGTAGTGGGGAGTGGAAGGGAAGGGGGCAGTCGTCCACTTGCTTGGATCTCTAAAGTGTATCTTAACAACCCTTAGAGCAACTGGCCACCGTTGTGCCCCTACTTTACCTGTGGCAGGTTCGGAGCCTATGCTTTGTGGTTATGTAACAGGATTCCGTATGTAGTTTTAACAATAGATTAGGCAAGGATTTGCTTGGGATGGTTTGGATAGGGATGATCCTGCCTGAGACAAGGGGTTGGATTAGATGACTTTCAGAGGTTCCTTCAAGTCCTTCTTTTCTATGAAGTTTCAAGTTTAATTACTGTTGACCTAGCAATGTCTGTAATGTTTGACTGTGTCATTTTTATCAGAGAGCTGGGGTTTCCCATGGAAAAATTAAAAACAATGCTTTTTTTCCCTTTTAACAGAGAAAAACAGCAGATTTTTCATTTTAATGGAGATACTCATAGATTTTCCACTTTTGCAAAGAGCTCTACAGGCTGCAGACTTCCAGCCTGCAAGAACTTCTGGCAAAGTGGGCAGCAAGCCCTAAGCCCTGTCCCAAGGGGGCGGGAGAGGGGGAAGGAGCAGGGCCTTGAGACTGTCAGCCAGGGTTGGCTCAGGCCCATTTTCCCCCCGGGCTTGCAGGGGGTTGGGGGCTGGCAGAGGGGCTATGGTTCATGGATGGGGGCACCAGCAGGGCTGGGGGGGCTCTGTGGGCCGGGTGTAGGTGCCCACATGGAGGTCCAGCCCAGCCCTATGGCATGTGGACCGGGAGTTGTGTGCCATGGGTCAGACAGGAAGCTACACATGGAGGCACAGAATCGCACACCATCCCATCGGGCCGGGCAGGCTCTGTGCCTCCACGTGCCTCTTCCCACTGGAGTGCTGGAAACCCCACATGGAAGCATAGAGCCCACCCAGCCAGATGGTGTGCAGCTCTCAGTCTATGCACCATCAGGCTGGGCCAGCCGGGTCTTTGTCTCCATGTGAGGGTTCCAGCACTCCAGCGGGAAGCGTCACACGGAGGCATGGAGCCCGCCCAGCCTGATAGCATGTAGCTCCTAACTACAGTACTGTGATCTGCATATGCTGGTACACAGCCAATTTGGCTTGGTTTCAAGGCCACGCCAGCGAGCCGGGTTGGCTTCGTGCCAGCATGTGCAGTCCCTGGGGGTCAGCCAGAAGTGCATGCCACCAGGGGCTGTGTCTGATGTGGCCACAAGCACCCTGAGGGCCTGCTGC